AGGACTGAGCGGGCTCAGAAGAGAGGAAACCCCGGGTTCGTGAGCAATCTTCGCTTTCTCGGAGGGATTTCCTCCTGCCTTCCTAGGCTTAGTCCTGACTGATCACTAGAGTAAATATTACTTTTCATTGACGTTTATGTTACAAAGCACAAGAACACATATGTTATACAGGAAACAGAAGAAAAGTGGGAAAAAGCTGATAGCACGGCTGACGGACTACTTGAACTCAGCCCTTTACCGCCTCTGCGCTCTCTAGCGGGTCCCTCTCCTCTCCAAGGCTTAGTCCTAGGGCATTCTCTAATCGTCTGTGCTCTAGCCATCGCGGCAGGACCATTGAGGAAAAATCAAGTAGTCCGTAAACCTAGCACTATGCATTTTTAAAGGACTCCTTGAGCAAACTGGCATTTTAGCAAACTGCACCGCAATGCCCCCTCCCCCCACGTCCTCCCACCCCCTCACTGGAATAGACTCGCTTTTTGCTTTATAGGAAGGGGCACTTTTCTCCAGTTGAGTATTAAACCCATAAAAGGTCTAGTTGTGTGAAATAACTAAAGCTGTAATAATTTCCGAGTCATTGTACTTTTCAATACTGTAACAGTGGCATCTTTTGAAACTGCTATTTCTCTCTATCATACATTTTTTGGAAACAAAAATAACCCATAGCTCAAGGCTCGGGGAAGGTTGAAATTGTAAGCTCTTTAGCTTAACCTCGTTGAAAAACCCTCTGATTCGTTAGGACCACAAGGATGTGTAATGAGCTATAACGTATTTTATTTTGATGTGATCAGATTTGAAATTGCTGCAAAAGCAGCTATCTAATTGGTTCATCCCTGCTCTCAAAGCGCTCTCAGAGCTTTCTCGAGCCAGGTGTTGTCCTGTTCTTATTGCGTCTGTACTCAATAGTGCCTATGCAAATCGGCTCCGCGCATGCGGTTAATCGGCTGCGATCGATTAAATTCATATACCATTTCCCGGGAGCAGTAGGAATTCTGGGCATGAACTAGCATCAATCGTTTGCATAGGGAGGTAGAAACTTTGTATATTCACACATTCTCAAGTTTCAGTTTTCGCTTCGAAATTTTACTCGAGTTTTTCTTCATCCTGTGATTAAGTCATTTCTAGTCTAATAATTTTATTTATTTGTAATGTTCTGGTATTTTTATACACTCATTCTCGCTATCTTGAAGGGTACATGGACTGCGTCTGAACTTTCTTCCATGGTCCTGCCATGAATGGCTGGATCACAGACCTTGAGGAACAATTCCTGGCTTGGCTCGAGATCTAAGGAAGGAAGGTTAGGGCTTTGAAACTAAGCCTTGAGGGGGCATTGAGATAGGTGACCCAATCACAGTGTGGCATTAGTTTAAATGTGTGGGATCAGAGTAGTCCTGAGCCGCTGTTTAGGCGAGAGAGCATCAAGCTGAGGCGACTTGAAGGATCGAGTTCAAGTGCTCTGTAAACGAATGAATAGCACTCAAACTATCTAAAGCCAGAGGCATCGAACTCAAGTTTGAATTTCCACGCTGGACTTCTCATGCGTATTGATTAAGTCAACAAAAGCAGAAGCGTAAAAAAGTGGTAAACTTAAGGATGAGAGGAGGATGTAACGGAACTACGCGTTGTTTTCGAGTGTGGGTGGAATTTTAGAGGAGCATCTTCACTGGTATATGCAGCATGCCGCCATTCGCTGTTTACAGCGATGCAACGGCGCATGGCTTCTTGCTTTATTGAAAAAATGTAGACGTTGGATGGCTGGTCTTGTTGTGCGGGCTTGGAGAGGTGAATTCAAATTGTTAGCAAAGTTCAGTGGACAGCAGTAGTTTCTGTGGCATTTCTGTGTTCATTTCGCGTTTTTATAGCGCAGGCAGTTTGCCATTACAAACAGTAGAAATAAGGGGTCTATTCCAGGGGAGGGGCATCATGATGCAGTTTTTCCAGAAAGCTAGGGTAACTCCGAGCCAGGGGAGTGTAGCCAGTCTAGGGGGTGAGGGCAGTCACTTGACATGCGTGAAAAGCTGGAATGTTCAAGTTCACACTAGTTCGCCGAGAAACTGGGTCATGATGCTCCCTCCTCTCTCCCCAACTGGAATGGATCCGAAACAAGTACCACTTTCTGGTAGAATTTTGATGTCCCAAAGCATAAAAGGATGAAGCATCCAGCATTTATTGTCCTATTTGGGATCGCCACGCACTCTGTTCTCATTCTGACTCTAGGCTGCAATTGAGCGTTGCCGACCTCCAAGATTGAGATGAGCGGTTAGATGGGTTGTTTTTAGTTTCAGGTGCTTACTGCGTATTCAATGAATCGTCCTTAAAATGATGGGAGCCCCTTTTGCCTTGGGCAAGTTCGATATAGGCTTTGATCGTGAGCTGCGAAGTGGCGTCACTTGTCATTACATCGCTTCTGCCTAATTGTTCACGTATGAAGTATGTTTTTGTCATCATGAACAGAACGCCCAAGAGCCAGGTTGTTCTATTTTGTTTATGCTGAAAGTGAGCTTCATTGCAGTGCTTTTACAAGTAATTTGTGAAAGTGTGATTTTTGGTGTCCTATAGGCTGCGCTTTCTTATAACACGAATTCGAGAAACCACTGTGGAAAATTGTCGAATTCAGTTGGTTACGACTTGTCGATTGTTGCTGAATCCTCTAGAACGATATCTGCAATGCTGCTGCGAAGGTTTAAATTTAATTTAAATTTTCGCCTCTCAACGTCTAAATTTTTCAACTATTTCTTTTTGAACAATCAGTTTTACACATTTCGAATGCTATTCCCAGAGTCGTTTCTTTTATAGATTAAATCGTCCTGGGAGAAAAGTTTTTTTGTGGAGATTTCTTCATCGTACTTCTTTACGATTCGGGTAATATCGATCGTTTATTCATTAGTTCACGTTCATTATTGGAGACGGGCCAGCCTAATTGGAAGCGTTAAGAAACGAGGCTTGAACTTAAACAAAAGATCTATTTTTCATTAGTTGCGAGCGCTATGCGGGCCTTCAACAAGTGTATTTGCTGTGCTCTGCGGAGGCTGCGACTCATCGAGGCGATCTGTGGTCTGCACAAGATTCCTCGTCCCGATTAGTGTCCGTTACTATGAGGCTCATAATAATCTGGAGATGCGTTTCCTGGAAGGGGAGCATGCTGTCAGGCGGATTTGTGGGATCGAGTTATTCTTGCGGTTTTCACGGAGTAATCTAGGCTTTTAAGGTGATCTTAGATTTTCATTTGAGAAGCCACTTGTAGCCGTTGTTCAAGGTTGCAGAAAAATCGTTGTCGGGGAGCGAAAGCGAACCACTTACGTCATTCCTTCTATTTTGATTGTGGGTTTTTCTTCCCTAATGATCGCCTAAATTAAGTTGCTGTGCATTCTTTCATAAGGGTTATTTCTTGTGTTTGCTTTCTCTAACGAACTTGTTACTCAAAAATAAGCACCATAAACTTTCAAATATCGCCTTTGATCAGCTTATCTGTCAGTTTTTTGCCTGTGTAATGGCGTAAATTGAGTTGGATTGGCTTAGCTTGACTCAACATACTTAATGAATTCCGTTGGTCTTGAATTTGTTCAGTGAGGGCAAGCTCTTACACGCTATGAATAATGAATAGGCTCGCAAGAACTCTGAACGTTCGGAAAAGAAAACACTGGAAAAGTGCTTAGAAATAGATGAGTATAACGTTTCGTTCTCAATCTCCCTCTTCCGAATTGCAAGACCACGAAATGTTAGCTCCTTCTTGCGAAAGTTCATTATTTGAGAACGAAATCGCACCAATCCTTTGTAATCGAAGTTGTGTTATCCGGCTGACACGAAGAGGATAAGGTTGAGTGTGACTGAGGTTGTTTGTATGTGAGTCTGAGTTGCTGAGAGTCGTTCGATTGCCGACAGCGCGCGAGCATCCGCTCTCTCCTCCGCTTATTAAAAGAGCGCATACAGAGGGACACGGCGGATCGTGCGAATCCGCGATACGTCTATCCTGCCGTAATTACCTTTGTTCTCATTTCATATCATCTTCTCTATTCACATTTTCACATGCTCAAGTGTGAAAGCTTAAATTCGTCCGTTTTTTGCACGTTTCAGAACGTGCGCTGCTCATCCACTTCTTCTCCCGATCGATTTGCCATGCCGATCGTTGATTCTATCACTCATCCTTTTGATCGCGTGTGGTAGTAATTTTTATGAAGGGGTTCCCGGGGATGTTAAGCTAAGTGCTTAGCGACTCTTTTCGTCGCCGGCTGCGCATCAGCAGCAATTGCCCATTAGCAACCGTGCTCGGATTGATTTGCAGTTCACTTGCCCCAGGTGGTGCCCTATGCTTCGATGTGGCCACTATGTGGAAAGGTCATCAGTGCTGCTTGTTGTCGCCATATCGTGTAGAATGAATCCTTCATGGTTTTTCCTTTCACAGATTTCGTATGAATGCCTTTGATAGGATGAAGACTCCCGTTGTGAAACGCGTCACAGTGTTTGATGAAAACGTCAACATTTGTTACATTGCAATTTCAGGAGCTTCTGTTCCTTGGAAACCATCTCTGTGTTTTTCGGGTCGCCGAGGCCACGGGTTGCCGTTTTGGTAGTAGCTTTCTACTGCTATCGACTCTGTCTATTTTGTTAGGTTCGAGTATACTATCATTTTTGGGTCTTATTTAGTAAGGGGAGCATGTTGTGCGACAGTTGCTGCGCCTAAAGAAGTTCCAATTTTCGCGGAGGAGGAAATTTTTGTGGTCCTCTAACCACGTTCCGATTGCATACGCCGGGAGTCCTCCCCTTGCGAATAACTGGACTACTTTAGGCAGTATGAGCTGTCGCACAACATGCCCCGTCGATGAGACCCTCCTTTTGCTTTCTATTTTCTTTATACCTCTTTTATTTTTCTATCGTGTAGTATTAGAGGTGGTCATTGATGGTAAGGTTTCAGATTATGGTAATGGAGGTGGATGAACCAGCAGGCACTTCCATGGACACATCTGAACCCCTCGAGCCAGCAATAGAATGGCGATTTAGTCAGGTGAAAGGAAATATCGAAGGGGATGACACCCACACCGAAGGTAAGACTTTCTCTGATACGTCTTATTTGGCTTGCCTTTTACAATGTTGCCTTCCTTTTTGAGCACCCGCTCGAGCGTTCTTTAGGCCTAATGATCACAGTTATGTTTTGCATTCAGGTAAATAATTCATGTAAATGTACTTATTATTCAGCTGATGTTATATCATGTGTGGAGTTTTCGCATGACGGTGAATACTTGGCAACCGGTGACAAAGGCGGGCGCGTTGTCATTTTCCAAAGGGATCAGAGCGTTAGTTTTTTGAGTGTTTTTCATTTCTCTTTATTTCATATGCTGTGCGTTTGGTGGTGTATGAGAGATTCTATTCTTAGTTAATTAATGAATGTAATTATTTTCATGTGGCGAAGTTCATTCGGACGTTCCGATAGATTCGCTGTTATTTTAGTATTAATGTTAGCAGAAACTGCGGTGGAAGAAGAGGAGCGGTGTAGAAAGAAGTCCTCAAGAAACAATATGTTGTGAAGGGATTTCTCCTTCTTCTCCGACGGTTTCTGCTATCATTGTGCGCAATCAATTTTATTATTTGAGTGAAGGGAAATAAGAGCTCATAAAGATTTGATTATGAGCTCACCATGAGGCAGACCCTCCCATCGTTTTCATGGTAGCTTGATATCGAAGCATTTTTTCGCATCTATCTTGAATGCTAACTTTACCTGCAGAAAAAAATCCCTGCTAGTGCCTCACACAAAAGGATTTGAGTGGTGTGGTACTTAACTTTTTTATGTTGCTCTTTCCTAAAACCTCATGCTGATTAATGATTTAAAAAATGTGAGACTCTAAAACGCTTTGCGAAAGACTGGAAAACTTCGAGAGAGTTGAAAATAGTTGCGAACGTTTTACTTTCTGCTCAACAGACCATAGGGCAGTAAGGGATCGCGTTCGAATGGCAGCAGTCAAATCGTTTGATATGTGCAGTTTTAATAGACTGTCCCATAACTCGTGAACTATGCAAGTTTTCGATTTCTTTTATTTTTTTATTATATCTCTGAAGTACTGCTCCTCCGAACATACACCACAAAATATTGTCTACGCGATAGGCGGCGCTAGTCAATGCCTTTCTTGTCGACTTCTGCGGATACAATTGTCGGTGTTGAGATCATGTCATCCGGCGCAGATTTCTTCCTGAGCAGCAGTGTTAGAGTTGAGAGTGGAATTATGGGTGTTAGCTGGCGCGAGGATAGGGCTACTAATTGAACTGGAAAATTGTTAACTTGGAAGCCTCCAATTTTTTACGCTTCCCTGCAGAGCGGGGTCGAAAGGCCTCAGGAGAAAGCCGACTTCGTTGTGTTGTTGTCGTTAACCTGTTGACGTATTTCTTCATCATTGAGCCTAGATTCAGAGCGTAGCGGTTTTCAACGCAGAGTTCCTCTCATATTCCACCAACCACATAGAAGCATCAAACTTGGAGAGGTTTGGTTTTTGGTATCAGAGCTCCCGAATCATTTAAGTTAAGCTTCTGCCACCTGTGGATACAGTATAACTATATCCAGCCCGCATTACCGAAATATATGCTGATTAGATAAAAGAAGAGAATATGGGAACCCAGCAGGAACACGGCGATGTCAGATCGTGTTTGGAGCTAATTTGAGCTCAGGACAGGTGACATACGAACTCCATAGTTTCAAGTCTTAATGACTATGGAGATATCTCACTATGTCATCGTGTTCATCGGAAGGGTGTTAGCGTTGATAGCCAGCTTGAGCAGTTATCTTTTCAATATCGTCAGACAAAACATTTACATTAAGAGCAGTGGAGCGACTAATGTGTGGGTAATTTTCTTTTAACCAGAAACCGACTCCGATTAGAGTGTAAGAGCGGTGCAGTTTTGTCTGAGAGAACGTATAACACCCATCTTCTGGCTGGTTCGAATTTTGAAGGACCCGTATAGGTGCTCTAAAAGTGGGGCTCTGAAAAAAAAGTAAAAAAAAACTTGACAAAACGACGTGATAGCCACGGAAAGCAGCATGCAAATGATCTATCTGGTTCCTCAGGTAGACAATCTTTGTGCTACTACAAGAAATGTTTCACTCGTCGAACGTTTTTCTGTGTCTGCTGATGTTTTTTCCAATAGAGTTAATTTGACCTCTGTAAGGCTTGACAAGGGCGCTATGTGTTGTCGAAAGCTCCTCAAAGGGCTCACAATTTTCTAAAAACTTTCCCAATGCTTTTCAAACCGTTTGTAAAACTTTTTGAGTCTTTCGCAATAATTATGCTGGATCTCACAGTTTTTTCTTTCACACATTTTTCATTTCTCTTGGGACCTTTGG